TTGTTGTGTTTTCCATCCTGCCAGAGACAGCTCTTTTCACCTGGCTTATCAAGAAGTTTGGGCCGTGTTTGGGGTTAGTACAGGGAATGTTTTTGTCCATCCTGTGTGTGGGGTCTTTCCACAGCCATTGCGGGGGGAACCTCTGGGGGCAGGGGCCTGTCTTGGGGACTCTCTCTTCCCTGCTTTCTGGAAGTGGTGATTGGGACATCCAACCCAGGAGGCCCTGCAGTCAGGGTGGGTGGTCCCTGGGGTAGGGACTCCCTCTTTCCCCAGCACACCCGAGCTGGGCTTGTTCTCACCTCTTCCCAGGATGGAAGGATCCTGGGGAGGGGTGGGGGTGGCCTCAGGGGGATGGCTTAGGAAATCAGCTCTTCTCTTACCCTTAGAAGTCCCAGACTAGGGTCACCCCCTGAGTCTGTTGGCACCTGGAGCCAGCACTGTCTGGACCTGAGCAAGAATCAGAATTCCTGTCCCCATCGCTCACCTCAGGCTCCCCCTGCTTGGTGCCACTTACTGAGAGCAGGAGTCTGGGAGGGGCAGAAGCAAGATCAGAGGCCCAGGCATCAGCTCAGATCGCATCCCCTCACACCCTGATTAATTCACTCTTTCCCAGCCCAGAGCACCCTGGAGGGGCTGAGTCTTTCTACCTGAAGCTGGAGACAAGCATCTTACTTGATTTACAGGCTCCAGGGGCAGGTGGCTCTGGCTGGTTGCTAAGGTATCTTTTAAATGGAAATCAGGGTGGAGAGATAGCTCACAGATCGGCCAGCCATCTGCTAAATGTTGCCTCTTCTGCAGGGGCTTCTGACAGGGAGCCTTCCAAGGAGGGGTGGGGGCGGCAGTCTGGGGTTTTTGTCTTCTAGGCTAGGAGTGGGAACTTCCCTTTTCTGCCTCCAGGTCAGTGATGTCTCCGATCTCGCCTCATCTCCGTTGCTTCCCTCGGTTTTAAAGATAAAGTCCCATCTGCAGGCTCTGATTCCAAACACGCAGCCTGGTTCCACAGTTTGGTATTTACTGCCAGGAGATTTCTGTGTGTGTGCATGTGTGTGTACATGTGTGTGCTCATGCCTGCGTGTGCACACAACACGTGTGTGACTCATTACCATCAAGGCCCAGCAGGTGAGTCCTTCAGAGCCAACGAGTCCCTGGCTGCTGAGAACACAAGCGTTGCTTCCAGGCCCTTCCCCTAGCGGAAAACACAAACCTCCCGGATGGCTGGTCGTCACCATTGCCGGTCTCTAACCCCTCCTGTAGTGAAGCAGCCGGCAGGCACATGGAAGCCTCTGGAGGGGCCTCCTCTACTCCGTACTCCAGGAGCCAGACAGTCGATGTAGGTTCTTTCCTGGGGAGCTAGAGGCCTTTTGGCTTTGGACCTCACTTCCTAGTAGTCCAAATGGGGATAGTAGTGTAGGCACACAAGGGATGGTGAGGCAGGTTGCTTACTGTGGTGTCCAGTGGGGATTCCTCTTCCCAACTGCACAAGGGGACTTTGCGGGCTGTAATAGCACTCACCTTGTAGATTTGTGAGGACCACATGAAGCAATCGAGTCACAGGCGCGACGGGACACTGCTCCCATGCTGGGTAAACCCTGACTGGGCTGTCTGCAGCCCTGTAGGTCACAGGGGGCTGTGTTTCCCTTCCTCTCTGGCGTCCTCTCATTCCACCCTGGCCCCTGCTGGCTCACAGACCTTCCAAGCGATGGATTCCTTGCACTTCTGACTTCCATCCCAGTGTCCTGGCTTCTGATCTCTGCACTCTCCCAGCTTTGCCCACAAGTACTCCCGAGGCCCCTCCCATGGCGTTCATTTGTCCCAGCCTCCTTTCCTAACTGCGGCCTCTCCTGTTCCCCTCCCCCACCCATGCCCCTCAAGGCTCAGAGCTGGAGCCCCCCAGGCCTGAGCTCGTCCTCCCCGTGTTTGTCCAAACCCCTGCCCCAAAGAGCAATCCCCTCCCCATCTTCACCCTCCTCACACACATTCACGGAGTGCATGGTCTCCCTCCCAACTTGGGGGCGTGTAAGCCGCTGTTTGTTTGGCTGTTAGAGTAATGTATTAAGTGACAGTTCTCAGAATACAATTTTAATTAAGATTCAATAGTCACTTCTCTGTCAGTAATCTTCCATGCTGATTACTTAAAATATATTTACCCAGCTCTATTATGTCACAGATTTGAATTCATTAGACGTTTGTTAATCCTCGGCAAACTTTTAAAAAATGTGATTTGTTTAGCATAATTTACAAGGACAGAGCTGTTTGGGCCTCTCGGGTTCTAGGCCCTGCATCCCTAAATGTCCTGACTTCCATGCTTGGGGCTGCTGCCTCTACTGTCCTCCAGCGCCAAGGATGGAGAGGCCCAACAGATACAGAAGGCAGCCGTCTTCTGTGTGGTGCTGGGATGGTCCACGGGTTGGCCATCCAGCCAGATAGCTGGAAACTCAGGAGGACTCAATGGACATGCAGACGCAGAAGGCGATTCACTCCATTGGACCCCCTAAGCGCGACTTAGTGGGCCAGGGAAGGTGTGAGCTCCAAGAAAAGCTGCAGGTAGAAGCTGAGGAACCCCAATACCTGGGGATGGGTGTTTCTGGCAGGACCTGGGGCAGGGCGGGCTGGTTCACTGCAGGCAGGAGCTTCCTGAGATCAGGCACTGGCAGTGGGTACGGGGGCAGTTGCTCGTGCGGTGCCGAGGGCAGAACTGTGTGAGATCAGGCCTTTGGCAAGTGCTTTTAACGAGCATACCCACCATGAAGCTGACAAACAGAAATAAAATCCTCCAGCACATAGGTCAGGAAACTTTTTCTGTAATGGACAAACTTGTCAATGTTTTCAGCTTTGATCTGCTGTAAATACTCACCTCTGTTGTTGCGGCAGGAAAGGAGCCCACAGTATGAAAATGAGCGAGCGTGGGGCATTCTAATAAAGCTTTATTTAAAACACAAGTGGCAGGACAGGTTTGGCCTGTGAGCTGCATTCACAATGCCATCTAGCATGGTTACACATAGACCAGATTCTGATGTTGTTGTACAAGTAAAGAAGGACACCTCTTTAATAATTGCATCGATGACAGATTGAAACACTACTTTGGACATAATGGGTAAATTAAAATGCTATCAAAATTAATTTCAGTGGAAATTTAAAATAGCCCTTCTGGCTCACAGGCTATTTTTGCCGGTCAGTCCTATCCTCTGAACAACACTGTCAGTAAATTGCTGGCCCTTGCAGGGCTTCAGGCTGGGGGATTTGCCTGAAATAACACCATACTGGGATTCAGAGCTGCATACTAAAGCATATGATGGAGAGAGATTTTTTAAATATACTACAGTATTGAGCTATTTTTTTTTTTTTTTTAAATCTGCTAGCTATTTTGTATGTGTCAGGAGTCCTCAAACTGGGATCTATGGAACTCTCCTTCCTGAAGATATTAATAACTGTTGCTCAAAAGTATGTTTATAGTAAAATAAAATGGGAGCAACATACCAGTAAATAGTAACCCCGTGTCTGTGCTGCAGCGGAATTTCCCCTCTTCTGAAGCTGTGAATGTGCATAGAGATTTTGCAAGAGCAAGCGCGTAGGCCGCTCTTCCCCATCTTATTGGCCTCACAAGCCGTTTTTGCAGAGCCCTGATTAGCACTTCTGGAAAGCAGTTTGAGAGATGCTGGCCTGCAGGAAGCCACACAACCAACCTGCACGCTTTCCCCAAAGTCCGACTCAATCAGTTTAACACTATATAAACAAGGTGCATAAATTTGGTACAACATAGAATAGTGTGAAGACTAAACTCTGAGGACAAAAAGATGAGCAAATTCCTATTTCTTCCTGCCCTTGTTGCTCACTCATGCAAAAGTGCCCGCTAAGAGCCAGGGGCTCGAGGCCTTGGGTAGACAGTGGTGAATGGAACAAGCTCCCTCCACTCGGGGCTCTGTTGCCAGCGCAGAAGACAAAGAGTAAACAAGACAAGCAGGTAGATTGTGGAGTAAATTAGATTGTGGTAAGTTCTGAGGGGACAAGGACAGGCCAAGAGGGGTGGTGGGGATGTTAGGAAGCCTCAGGAGAAGATGGCTTTGATATGAAGATCTCCCCATGAAGGTTGTCTTGAAACCAAAATGAGATGACGTGCGTGAGGGTCCAGACCAAGGACCCAGCTTGAGCTAAGTGCTCAGAAGCTCATTCCTTTGCCTTCTTCCAATCCCCTTTTTCACTTCCCTAAACTCTCAAAGACCTGGGAACTATGAGGATTCTCCTGGTGGTGAAATTGTCCAAAGCCAGCCCCCGGCCAACCCTGGCATCTCTCAGGCCACCTCTCTTCTGGTCTGCATCTCTCTTCTTAAGGAATGTTGTTTCCATTTCATCTCATGCTGACCCCAAACCAACTAGGATGGTAGCACTGTATTTTAAAAGACAACCATAAAACACTTTTCAAACTCAGTGATTACTGGAGGAACAATTAATATGGTTTCATCCATCTATCTGTCATCCATCCACTCACCCATCCACCTACCCTTTCATCCACTCGCCCACCCACCTACCCGTCCATCCACTTGCTCATCAATTCACCCATCTTCCCACCCAACCATCCATCCATCCATTCACTAGTTCATTCATCCATCCATTCACCCACCCATCCTATTTATCCATTTGTCCAACAAATATTTAGTGAGCACCTACTGGGTTCCAGGCACTGTGCTAGATGCCTGAGATACAGCAATTCATAAAACAGACTGAAGTACCTACCCTCATGGAGCTGATGTCCTAGCAGGGGTTACAGGAAACCATCAATAAACATAATGAATGACTAAATGAAGTAGTATGTTAGAAGGTGATAAGAACTAAGGAAAAGGTGAAAATAGACCTGTCTTAGGGGGGCTGTATGAGAAGACATGAGAGGTGTCCTGCCATTCTCTGCTCCTCCTCAGGCAGGGGGCTCATGGGAGCGGGGAAACTCTGGGCAAGGACATCGGGAAGTCAACTCCTGACCTTGACCTTATGTCTTTATCTTCCAGGCGCCACAGCCTGAGTGACCAGACCATGGAGACCCTGCTTGGCGGGCTGCTGGCGTTTGGCATGGCGTTTGCTGTGGTCGATGCCTGCCCCAAGTACTGTGTCTGCCAGAACCTGTCTGAGTCACTGGGGACCCTGTGCCCTTCCAAGGGGCTGCTCTTCGTGCCCCCTGACATCGACCGGCGGACAGTGGAGCTGCGCCTGGGCGGCAACTTCATCATCCACATCGGCCGCCAGGACTTCGCCAACATGACGGGGCTGGTGGACCTGACCCTATCCAGAAACACCATCAGCCACATCCAGCCCTTCTCCTTCCTGGACCTTGAGAGCCTGCGCTCCCTGCACCTGGACAGCAACCGGCTGCCCAGCCTTGGGGAGGACACCCTCCGGGGCCTGGTCAACCTGCAGCACCTCATCGTGAACAACAACCAGCTGGGCGGCATCGCCGATGACGCCTTCGAGGACTTCCTGCTGACGCTGGAGGACCTGGACCTCTCCTACAACAACCTGCACGGCCTGCCCTGGGACTCGGTGCGGCGCATGGTCAACCTCCACCAGCTGAGCCTTGACCACAACCTGCTGGACCACATCGCCGAGGGCACCTTTGCCGACCTGCAGAAGCTGGCCCGCCTGGACCTGACCTCCAACAGGCTGCAGAAGCTGCCCCCGGACCCCATCTTTGCCCGCTCCCAGGCCTCTATGCTGACTGCTACTCCCTTTGCCCCGCCCTTGTCTTTCAGCTTTGGGGGAAACCCACTGCACTGCAACTGTGAGCTCCTCTGGCTGCGGCGGCTGGAGAGGGAGGATGACCTAGAGACCTGCGGGTCCCCCGGTGGCCTCAAGGGCCGCTATTTCTGGCATGTGCGTGAGGAGGAGTTCGTGTGCGAGCCGCCGCTCATCACCCAGCACACCCACAAACTGCTGGTCCTGGAGGGCCAGGCGGCCACGCTCAAGTGCAAGGCCATTGGGGACCCCAGCCCCCTCATCCACTGGGTAGCCCCTGATGACCGCCTGGTGGGGAACTCCTCACGGACCTCTGCGTATGACAACGGCACCCTGGACATCCTCATCACCACGTCTCAGGACAGCGGTGCCTTCACCTGCATCGCTGCCAACGCGGCCGGGGAGGCCACAGCCACCGTGGAGGTGTCCATCGTGCAGCTGCCGCACCTCAGCAATGGCACTGGCCGCGCTGCACCCCCCAAGTCCCGCCTTTCGGACATCACCGGCTCCAGCAAGACTGGCCGGGGAGGTGCAGGCAGTGGGGGCGGAGAGCCTCCTAAAAGCACCCCGGAACGGGCGGTGCTGGTGTCCGACGTGACAACCACCTCGGCCCTGGTCAAGTGGTCAGTCAGCAAGTCGGCGCCGAGGGTGAAGATGTACCAGCTGCAGTACAACTGCTCCGATGACGAGGTGCTCATTTACAGGTGAGCGCAGGGCTGGGCACAGGCAGGGCGGGCTGCTGGGGAGTAGGGGCTTCTGAGCTATTCCCATGGTACCCCTTCTCTCCAGGGGCGCTTGTGGAGATCCTGAGTCCACTGAGCCATTTGTGCAGGTGAGAGGAGGTAGAAAGAATCAACTATAAGTTTAAGAACAAAAGGAGGTGGGCATGGTGGAGAACACCTGTAATCCTACCTCTCTGGGAGGCTGAGACAGGAGAGTTGCGAGTTCTAGCTTAGCCTGGGAAACTTGTCTTAAAATTAATAACAATAAGAAGAAGAAGGAGGAGGAGGAGGAGGAGGAGGAGGAGAAGGAGGAGGAGAGGACAGTTTAGTGTGAAGGTCCTGGGTTCAATCCCTAGTGCCAAAGGAAGAAGAAAGAGGGGCTAAAGAGAGGGAGAGGAGGAGAGGGGAGAGGAAGGGGAGAAGGGAAGGAAAAAGGAGAGGAAGAGGAGGAGGAGGAGGAAGTGGAGGGGGAGGGCAGGGGAGGGGCAGGGAGGTGGGAGGGGCAGAAGGAGGAGAGGAGGGGAAAAGGCTTCACAGGTGAAGTCTGAAGACGTGTGTGTCAGAGGACCACACCTGCCAGGCGGTGGCCAAGCTGGGCAGTCCCATGGCTTTACACCCCTGAACTCTGCCTTGCACACTGGAGGACATGCATAAGCGCCATGAGGAAACCTCTTGGCCAAGGGGGGCTGGCTCCTCTGGGAAAGGCGTGTGACCTTCACTCGGACTCATGTGCACTTGGCTGTGGAGAAAGCTTGAGGTCAGAAAGAGTGCGGTTCTAGCATGGGGTGGGGTTCAGTTCATTCCCCATGGAATGCCTCAGTTTCCTCATCTGTAAAATAGACATAATCTTGCCTCACTTAATATGGACGTTTGGAGGCAGATGGTGAAAACTACTGTAAGAAAAAAGAGAAAGAAGGAAAAGAGAACCGTAGTGAGTTGGTGAAGGTAACTGAAAATCAGGATTCTGCTTCAGGATGGGCTGGATCAAAGGCCCCCAGCGATGTCCTGCATGCTCACTTTCTTCCCTCCTGTAGGGTCTGGGCTCCTCTGGATTGGCATCCCCCCGCCCCCTGCACTTCCAGCAGCCTTCCTGCTGTGCAGGGTCTTCCTAGCAAGCCCTACAGGGATGAGTGCCCCTCTCCCCACGAGGCCCTGATTGTGTGGGGCCAGCTGCTGTGAACCCCTGGATCTTAGAGGGGGTCGTCCTGCCTGTCTGTGCTGACCCCTCTGGGCTCCGGTCTCCTCGTGGATGTGGAGGCGGTGATATTGCCCTTGCACCTCCTGGAAGCAGAGACAGGGCAGAGGAAGTTGAAGGGTCATTGCCTAGCCCGGGGGAAAAGGCAAGGTGGGGGAGAAAGTTCCCATAGAATTGTGGGACTTGCAGCAGAGTGACAGACAGGGGCCGGGTTGAGACAGCTTACCCCAGACAGCCTCCTTTCCAGCCTTCCGGCCTCAGTTTCCATGAGATGTGAGGATGTGCTGTAGAATCTCACTGCCCCGGGCATGCACAGTATCCTTGGAAATCCTGTGCGCTTCATTTGATGCATGTATGATTAGCCTGAGGAGGGGCCGGGGGCTTCCCCAGCCATCCAGAGCCCACCATGGATCCATTGCTGAGGACTTTTGGAGCTGCTCGGTCTGTGGGTGGGGAGCAGAACTTGTGAGGAGGAACAGAGGCTATATACCTGAGGGTGGGGACGCCTTGGGGACTGGAGGGGAACCAGGGTCCTCTCCTTACCCAGCTGCTGCTGAGCTGGTCTGGATAGCCCCTTCCAATCTCAGCCTGGAGAGAAAGCTATATTGGAATTGAATGTAAACACATGCATAGATATGCATATCAAAATATATAGAGAGGTATATAATTAAACTTAAGTATACATACATATCTTTCTATCTTTCCACTAAAAGTCATAATCTGTAGAAAAATTGGAAGTGCAGAAAAATTATAAAGAGGGAAATAAAAAAAATCACTTGTACTCCCACCATCCAAATTTAACCAGAAGTATTTGGAAAGTGACTCTCCATTTTATACCGATTCTAAGTGATATTTATGGTCAATTTAGTGTGTGCTATTACATATTAATCCTTTCCACTCACCATTATATGGCTTGCTTAGTTTCCATGGCATTGGACTATTTTTCATTTGGCAGTACCATAATTTATTTAACCAATCTTCAGTCATTGGATATTCAGGTTGTTTCCCATTTTTTGATGTTAAAAATAACACAGGGACATATGTCTTGGAACATAAATACATTGTACATCGTTTTCTAGGAGCTGGAGTTATTGGTTTAACAAGTTAATTATAAGCTTTGCCTGTTCCATAAAAATATTTATTAACCCTCTGCCTGGTGCCAGGTGACAGTGCCCATCTTGGCCATGCTTTGGTCAGTCTCGAAAATAAAATAACCTCTCCCCTGTGCCAATTCCAGAGGTGAAAACTGGATCTAGGTGCCATTTACATTTCTTTGATAACGTGTGAGGTTGACCTTTTGAAAATAAGTCTATTTCTTCCCTTGTGAATTTATTATACGGTCTTGACTTTGATAAAATGCATAAAGGTGGAAAGACACCAGCTCTGCGGTCAGTGTGGGCAAGAGGGAAATGCAGTCATGAGAGGGAAGAGAAGGTGTGGGCACCCAGGGAGCAATGTGCCAGTGTCACCAAGCAAAAGTCCTCCCCGGGGGCCTCACGGATAGGCAGGTAGGGGTGGGGTCTGTGCTCATCAAGGTGGGGGTTCAAGTTGCTTTTCTTTGGTGAGTGGGGACCTGGAGACACTAGGTTTATAAGTATAATAAACATAAAGCAGTGGCGTCAGAAACCTAAGAATTGAAAATGCGTGTGACAGCGGCAACTTCGAGGGCTGGCTGTGAAGATTAGAAGAGGCACTGCGTGGAAATTCTCTAAATAGCGTTGGTTCTCTAATAGGGCCCACAGTGAACGCTGAAGAAAGGAAGGAAGTGTAGTTGTAGTAGTAATCTCAGGAGCAGTACTAGCCTGGCATCCTGGAGAAGAAGATGGAAGAGGAAAATTAGGTACACCATGAAGTCTGATTTTTAAGACAGATTTCTAAACTGTTAGGGACAAAAGCAAGCACCATCATGACCCACTATCATTGCAATCTTGCAGTGTGTTTCACACCTTGCTTTACAGGCAGATTTCATGTAATCCTCCTGGACACACCACAGAGCATAGAAGTCCATGGAAGCTAGAAAAGCCTTCCCTTCCTTGGCCTTCCTGAGGGGAGAGCTCCTCTCTGTCATTCCACATACACACAGCGACTCTCCACAAGACCCTACCCTGCACAGCTCCATGGGACAGGGACCAGAGTCTCCCTGCTGATGCGCATACTTGGAAAATATTTTAGGAGCTTTCACTGGCTGTGAGCTACACCATAAACAGAGCCCACCACAAGTGTCTAGGTCATCTGACAAGGTTTCGTCCTGTCTTGGGGACAAAATGGAGAAATGGTGAAGTGAATTGGAAATTGGTCAGATACCCAGACTGGTGAGTAAATTGATAGAAGAGTTCAGAAAGTCTTTGGCTTATCTCCCAGCAGCTGTCCCCATTTCTGTACTGCTCTTGTGGATATGGACAATGGCATGAAAATATGCTTGGCAAATTATCATGCCCAAAGCTGCTGTCTGTCTGTCTGTCTATCTATCTATCTACTATCCATTCCTATACCTGCTTACCTACCAATTCACTCATGCACCAATTCACCCACAAATCCATCCATTAGTCTACCCACCTAATCATCCACCCACTCACCAATATATCCATATACACATCTGTCCATCCACCTACCTATTTATCCATCCACACATCCATCCATTTATCCACCACCCACTCATTCATGCACCTGCTCATCCATCCGTCCATCCATCCATCCATCCATCCATCCATCCATCCACCCATCTTTCCATCCATCCACCCTTCCATCCATCCACCTACCCATTCACACATTCATCCATTCATCCACCCATCTACCCACCTACCATTTATCCACCTGCACATCCATCCACCCACCTGTTCATTCATTCACCCATCTATCCATCCACCCATCCATTCATCCACCCACCCACCCACCCACCCATTTTGGCACAAGAAATCAGTTATAGTTGCACAAGTCTAAAGTGAGGAAATCTGGCTTGGCTGGAATTCTGTGTGCACAGGCTCCAAGTTTGCCTAAATTACTTTTATTGTTGCTGAGACAAAATACTCAGCACCCAAAGTTAAAAAGAGAAAGGGTTTATTTCAGCTCACAGAGGTTTCAGTCGGTAGAGGTTTCAGTCTATAATCATCTGGCTCCAAGGCAGGGTGGCATGGCAGAAGGGCATGACAGAGGAGAAACAGTTCATGGTGGGCAGAAGACAGCAAAAACAAGCAGGTGACAAGCCACTTTCCGCCCCTTATCATATGCAGGCTACCTGCCCTTAGGCTGGGTAGCACTCACACTCTTAATCCTAGCATCCTTAATCCTAGCACTGCACCATGAATCAACCTCAGCATCGCATATTCTAGATCCAGCCGCCTCCGAAAAAGCCCCACCTATGACTGCATGAGGCTTTGGGAGGACATCTAGACACACGCCACAACACAGTTGCTCTCAAGAGCATCATAGTCACAGCGATGGAGCTGACAAAAGGCTCCTGTCATTTTCTGCTGTGTTTAAGTGTGTGGCTCAAATCCTCATAGATGATGGCTCTGTCTATCATTGAAGCTGGTCAGAGCAGAGCTGTGGAAGTATGATCCAAGCTGGCCCAGTTTTAGGGGTCAAATTCATAGACCGCAGCACCTTGTAAGTCCCTGGCCTGCTCTGGCTACTGAGTCAGCATTAGATGAATGGAACAGAAAGGACATGAGCATCCAAGCTGCCCATAGATGAGCAAGAGTGAGCTGTCACCAGCCACGGTACCCACGCCAGAAGGATGGGGCGGAGCTGGGCTGATGCCATCCTGGGGGTGCTGAGCCGGCGGCCC